TTATTTCCCGCTGTTTTAGTCCGAAGACAAATTTACTCATTCTGAAGAGGGAATTAAGACTAGGATTTTTTTTTCTTCTAAGAGATTCGGTACCTAGAAAGTACAGTCTTGCTACATAGGTGTAAGAACAAAGCAAGCCTGAATGCTGTCTCCTACTTACCTTTGTTCCCTGGGAGAGCTGGAGAGGATTAAGGAGACAGTTGAGCTCAGGGAGGGAGAAAAGGTTTATATTTTTCTCCAATGTAGCAGGGTAACGAATGACCTGGGAGAGGGACCCTGGAATCCCAGAGGGTACTTGAGGAGCACAGGTTCCTACAAGTTTACAGCAGTAGCAGAACCAGAGTGTTTTGTCTGGCTCATCCGACCTGGGATCCTGAGGAAAGGGACAGAGGATTTCTTTTAACTAAGTATAGTCATGGCTCTTAAAGAGAGAGTTGCCAGGTGTCCTTGGGCACTGTCCTATATGCCCAAGTGAACCAGCAGCCCTTTAAAATCAGAGAGTAGGGCTTTTGCATCTAAAATCCAATTGCTACGCTTTAACTAAATTGCCTCATCTTGTATATATGTTAAACCCTGCAAGCTCCAATCGGTTTGGAGGATGCTTCTAACCAATACTATGAACCAGTCAACAAGGTAGCATTCTTTGGCAGGCCCAAATGCCACAAGAAGGACCGCCCTTCCCATCAGCACAGTATACCTGATCTATGGGACAGCTAATTGCCCTGACTCATCTCCCCATCTCTCATTCATCTGCTCAGTACTACTGGCAGGATCTAAGTAAAACAACACCTTTTATCGTGTTAATCCCCTCCCAAAAACCTCTCTCTTGAAATTGAGCTTTCAAGGGCCACCAGAATCTGGCCCCTCACCCTACTTGCCACCATTCATTCATTCATTCCACCAGTTTCCACCTGGTGTTTCTGAGTTAGGGATTGACAAATGAACCATGTTTTAGAAAGGTTAAGCTGCTCGTATAACAAGGATGAACTGAAAAATAGAGTAGTGGCAGGAAGGAGACTATTGTACTAATGGATGGTAACCTTTAACAGAGCACTTTCAGGACAGTATTATATACAAGTTTAGATAACACATAGTTAAGAGACCAGGTAGAAAGGAAATTCGAACAGCATTTGTGGATAGTGCAACTTCTTTCTTCAAAACAAAGGAAGTTTTCTAATTAGGATGAGAACCTATATTTTAAAGAAGTAAATATAATAATAACTCTAAAGTTTTAAAACTAAGAAGTTATTAATATAAAAAATTTTGAAACGAAAGATTTTGAAAATGGGCCAACTTTTTTTTATTTATTTATGTGAAGGTGTGTCTACATAAAATCAAACATTTTTTCCCCCTGGTTAGTATTCACTGGTAAACTATTTGGTCCTGCTCCCTTATCTATGACCTATGACATGGAAAGAGAGGCTTTCACTATGAAATATCTATTCATATAGATTATCAAGAAGCCCCAAATGAGCATTAACTTTCCTCTTTATTATGTAATATTATTTAATAGGGGTTACACACATGTGATAATAAAAACCCAGCAGTGCAAAAGGTTATATACACTGACAGTCTCATGTGTTTTGTCTATCAGATTATCATAGTGGTCTAGAAATCAAAAAGAAGTTTAGAAGCAAAGTTAAAGACTTTCAGTAATAAAATTCTACCATAACGTTTTGATGGAGAGGCTAACTATCCTGCTTTATTATTATAATGAGGCTCTAGCTGGGCTCCTGTGCAGAGATTAGTGCTGAACAGATAGGATGCTCTCTCAGGGAGACGAAAGGAAACGTGTTGGGAGACCAGTGAGTGACTGCTTCCACCACCCCTCCAGATGTAAGCTGCTAGCCCACCATTCTCAAAAGCAGTGGGGTTTCAGGAAGGTGGACAGAACAGTTTTAAAGCATTAATCCTAAACACCATGCAATGGCAGGGCCAAAATAATGAATATAGAAGAGTTAGCCATCTCAAGAGGAGATACTAAAATTTTTATTTTATTTCCCCCCATGTAACATATCAGCTACTATCTGAGAAAAAGAAGAGGTGGAAGTATAAATAAATTTCAAGAATACAGCCACTGTGAGATATTTTTCCGGTGCCTTTATTTAATTAACTGGGAATAAGATGTCTTTTCTTTATGAAAGTCATAGAGGAATCCTTAACATTTTTATTTTATCTTATCATCTTTGAGGTGTTCGTAAAAAGCGATGAAACCTACAGAAGTAATTGCAAGTTCAGGGAATGTTTAAATTAAAAGTTCTAACTTTAATTTATACTTAAGAGACTTTGAGTGGTTAAAAACTCAAAAAGTTCACTTATAAGAGTGGGAGTTTTACTCTCCACCCCCACTCCCTATTCTTGATTCATTTTTTTCAATGAGGGGGTGTGACGGTTATTTCATGTGTCAACTTGACTGGGCCCCAGTGCCCAGATACATGATTGCACATTATTTCGGATGTCTCTGTAGACTTTGAATAAAGCAAACTGCCCCCCATAACATGGGTGGGCTTCATCCAGTCAGCTGAATACCTGAACAGAACGAAAGACTGACGTCCCCCAAACAGCACTAAATTCACCAGCACACAGCCTTTGGATCTCAACTGCAATGCTGGCTCCGTGTTGGGTTTCCAGCTTGCCAGCATCCTGCAGCTTTTGGACTTGGCCAGGCTCCCTAACCATAGGAGCCAATTCTTCAATGTAAGTGTCTTCATATGTATCCCCCCCCCCCCCCATTCCTATTTCATTCTGTTTCTCTGGAGAATCCTGGGGTTCAGGTGGGGGAGAGGGGTAATCAACTTTCAAGTAGCTTTTAAATACTGAAGTCTTCATTCTGTAGTTGTATGCAATCGTCCAGCTCATTTGTGACTCCATTAACATCAGTTAGAGATATGAAAAATTTGGTCAACTTGAAAGAGAATTTCTCTGAAGAGAAAGAAAATTTACAGTATGGGTGAATTAGGTGTGATCTGACTATAGTAATTATCAGAATAGCATTGTTACATATTGCTTGTGCACAGAATGTTAGACAAATTTTCAAACTTAATTTAATTCGCAAAGAATAATCTCCAAAGGAGCCTAAATATATCTTTAGATGTTTTATTTGTTTTTCAAGATATGTTTTCTATTTTAAAATAATGTAGCATGTATGTTTATTTTTAAAAAAGATGTCATTGTAAAAATCTTAGAAAATACAGGCAAGCAAAAATAAAACATAAAAATCTTATATAACCCCTCTACCCCAAGATAGTCACTTCTAAAGTGTTGGTGTTTCCTTTCAACCTTTTATTGATGGGAATGTATCTATATTTTTATTTTTATTTATTTATTTTTTTAAAAAATATATCTTTATTGATTTCAGAGAGAGGAAAGGAGAGGTAGAGAGAGAGACAGAAACATCAATGATGAGAGAGTCATTGATCAGGTGCAGCCCATAACCCGGGCATGTGCCCTGACCGGGAATCGAACCCCGATCACCTGGATCCTAGGTCCACACTCAACCGCTAAGCCACGCCCAGCGGGGCGTATCTGTTTTTAAAAAACAGAAGTGGATATATAGTGTACACAGATTTGGTACTGGTATTTTCAAGTAATATTTTTGAACATTTCCCTGTGACCTATTTTTGGTTGTTCATACCTTTTGTTTATTTTTTCCTTTTTATTAAATTTATTGGGGTGACACTGGCAAACAAAGTTATACTGGTTTCAGTTGCCTGATTCTACAGCACATCTGGTTGCCTCAAACCTCCTAAAAACATTTACCTTTTCTCCCTTTCCAGTTAAGAGAGGCTAATATCCAGCAGAAATGTATAGAAAGTATGTTGATATGCTGAGGAATGCAAATATACGTGTTAACTTTTCTTTTCTGAAATTGTACTTTCAAAACTTTGAGAGCCCTAAGGTTTTCATATTTAAATACAACACCAAGTCTGTAAGACAAAAGGAATATGAATAACAATCTCTTTAAACTAAAATACAAATTCCCTTCCGTGCCCTCAAATGAAATAATAAAAGGCTGCTTTACATAGACGTTCTCCAGCAGGGCTGGCAGACTGTGGCCTGTGGGCCCAAACCAGCCCGTCCCCCGCTTTCCTACAGCCTGCGGCTAACCATGGTTTTTACGTTTTAAGTGACTGGGGGAAAAATCAAATAAATGATATGCAATTCAAATTTGAGTGTGCCTGCATAAAACTACTGGAATACAGCCGTACTTATTTACTATGGTCTGTGGCGCTTTTACTCGGCAGCCCCAGGGCACTCGGGACCGAGCCCGCGTGTGGCACTCTCCCCACAGCTCAGTCAGTGTCACCGGCAGCACTCGGGCCGTGCACAGCACCCTCCCCTCACACTCATTGTCTTTATTACCAGCATATACCTGTCATGTCAAAACAAAAAGAAGAAAGTGGACTTCAGATATTCCATCCTTAATATACAATGAAAAATGGGTTGTTTCTTTATCAAACCCGACGGCAAAGCAGCGTGTTCGTCAGGCTCTGAGCCCGGGTCTGCGCTACAAGAACACAGCAGATTGAAGCACAGCGCTCCCTGGGATTCAGCCTTTACAGTCGCTGCTTTGAAGATAAGCAAGAGCAACAAAATTTGGTAAACAATGACCTCTCCCCCTTCTCCTGGCTCTTTGTCNCTGAAGCACAGCGCTCCCTTTCAGCCTTTACAGTCGCTGCTTTGAAGATAAGCAAGAGCAACAAAATTTGGTAAACAATGACCTCTCCCCCTTCTCCTGGCTCTTTGTCAACTTTGTAAAAGGTTTCCGCTGTAAAATCCAGGGAGTAAAATCCAAGGAATAGTTAACCAAGAAAGTTAGTTAACGCTTGTCTGAGCTCCCGTCTGCCGCTCGCGAGCCCCCCACCCGCCCCTTAGCCAAACGGAGCGCGGGCCTTGCCTTTATATTCTCCCTGCGAAGGCTGTTCGGGGCTGCGAGTCTGTTTAGGGCAGGAGCCCCTCCCAGCCTCCGGCATAATAAACCTCCAAACGATCGATTTGGGCTCTGGGTGAATTAATCTCGCAAAAACTGGGTATAACAATATGTATTACCAGACCAGGAGGTTTTCACAGTATCCCCAAGTCACAGAGAACAGTCAGAGAAGTTATACAAATTAAATGGAATATCTCACCACAGTAAAACTTCCTCGCAAAATAAGAAGAGGTAAAAAGGAAGGAAATGAGGCTGCAGCCATAGTAAGCTTCCAAGTGGCTTATTTGTTAGCCATGTGGATTAAATGATGATTTATTGCAGCAGCTGAAGAAATGTAATCGGAAAAAAACAAATCNCTGAGGCTGCAGTCATAGTAAGCTTCCAAGTGGCTTATTTGTTAGCCATGTGGATTAAATGATGATTTATTGCAGCAGCTGAAGAAATGTAATCGGAAAAAAACAAATCTGTTTAAGACCATTAGCCTTTGGGTGAGAACAGCTGCTTGAAGTGTTAAGGCCACTGGGAACAACATCGATAGTTTAAATGATTTAGTAAAGGCAAATTATTTTGAGTGGTTTTCCGTGGTGCTTAATAAGTTGACAGGTGTTATTGATACTGCTCATCTGTGGCTGTTTATTCAAGGAGTCAGTGTTTGGAGTGACTGAAGAATTAGCCTCTGCGAATCGGCTGCATGCAACAGGTGAAAATATTTAAAAAGGAGTTGAGAAAACTCTTATCAATACTCCTAAGGTGAAATCAGCTATGATGTGTGACAACTTATGTAAGAAGAAACAGGCTTATTTTGATGGATTTCCACTTGTGGAAATATAAGGAGTTTAAATCCTATGGTTATCACATCACTGTACTGTATTATCAACCAACAGGTAGTTTGTGGAAAACGTCTGACTCTACCCTGTGTCACTGAACCAGTAGTGTCAACAATAAACTTCATTTGCTCTCATGGACGTAACTATTGTCACTCCACATATCTGCATCAGAATTAGCAGCTAAATATCCCGACTTGCCCTACCACACAGCATTTGATGACTTACCAGTGGTAATGTTTTATTGTGAGTTTTGCTTTTTAGCTCAGGGCCAAGACTGAAGTTTTTTTCTAAGTGAGAAGAACCTCCCTTAACCACTATTATGGAACACTGACTGGGTGGCTTTAGAATTCATTTTTGCTAATTTGCTAATTGTGATCACTCAATGATCCTTCTTAATGAACTCAACCTAAACTTACAAGACAACACAGAACTTGCAAAACTTACTCTGTGGTAATGGCATTTTGACAATAAAAGCAAGATCTCCATTCTCACAAATTTGCAGTGGTTATATTTTTCGAGCTCAAACTACAATTTTAGCGTTACTTTATAGAGACCTCAATGCAAATACAAAATAAATTTTCATATTTCAAGACCCATTTAGTTATGCCATTGAGCAGCTTTCACTTAACTTTTAACAAGAAATTATTAGATATCACATGCTAGACAGAAACTGTCTGGAGAATAATCTAATATAATTCTATAATTTCTTTCCAAGAGATTAAAATTCTCAATTTATATCACATGCCCTTGGATTGATCTCAGTATCGGGCAGTGCTTATCTGGGTGAAAAGACTAAATTTGGGTAAAAGATTAAATGTGTAAAATCTCATTACAGATCAGGGTTAACAGATGAACATTTGCAATCAATTTTTATGACAGGGAATAACTTTGAACTCTGATTAAGAGAAATGTTACCCACCTTTCCAAAAAAGATTTTAATTCTTCTCTTTAGTAGACCTGTTTTACAAACACTTGTACTCGATATTATTATTATGTTTTAAATTTCATCAATGAGAATTTGGAAATCAGTTTTCTCTCTTGCTATATAAATACCTGTATAATATCTTCAATTTTGCCTGCTAGCCCACCAAGCCTAAAATATTTACTACTTGCAGACCTCTGTTCTAGGGGAAGTAAAATCTGAGTGGGAAGCGAGATCTGAGGGAAGAAAGATTTCCAGCCAAAGAAGACAGCTTGTGCATATGAGCAACAACCAATAGCGTATGTGAAAACTACTCGAGTTATTGACACCAAATCATATAAACCCTCTTCCTTCTTACCTTTTTCAGCCCATCAGCAATACCAGTTTCTTCCAGAAGATGGCTCCCTTTATCTTCCTAAAATTTTGTTATGAAAAAATTCCCTACAGAAAATTTGAAATATTTTAGTGGACATCTATAAACTCACCATTTTGATTCTCTTATCAACACTTGTTAAGCTTGTTTTATCCCCTGTCTATCCATCTCTCTGCCCCTCCACCCATCTTGGTTTTTGATGTATCAGTACACCTCCCCCCATATACTTAAGCAAGTGTTTCATTAGTGTTCAATATTTACTCACAATTTCCATTTATTTACTTACTTATTGGGGTGACACTAGTTTAAAAAAATGATACAGGTTTCAGGTGTACAAGTCTACAACACATCATGTGTACACCGTATTCTGTGTTCACCAACTCAAGTCTTCGTCCATCTCCACAATTTCCTTTTTTCTAAAGTAAAATTTATATACAGTAAAATGTGCAAATCTTATATGAACATTTCCTGAATCTTGTCAAACTGCAATTAACCCTAAACCATGAAAATACAGAACGTTGCCATTAACACAGAAAGTTCCCTTATACTCTCCCCATTCGATCCTTCCTCTCCCACACAGAAGCAACCACTGTTCTGATTTTCCTTTTTCCACCACAGATTAGCTGTGCATGGTGTAGAACTTGATATATATGGAATCATACAGTATAGACTTTTTTGGTAAAACTTTTTTCACTTGGCATAATGGTTTTGGAACTCCTGTTAATGTGTAAAACCAAGTGTTCATTCCATTTTATTTTTGAGTGGGAGTCTATTGTCTAAGTATATATATAATAGTTTGCTTATATATTCACCTATTGATGGGGCACCTAGATTGTTTCCTGTAGGTATTTTAAATAAAGATGCTATAAACATTTGTGTATGAAGTATTTTTGCTTTAAAATTTTTTTTAATTACAAAATAATGCGGGTGGCGCTTACTTTTCCTATTTTTTAGGAATGAATTGCTGGTCTTAAATCTTTTCTTCCAAAGCAGATTATCATTGTTTGAAACTTTTTACCATGGAAAAGTAATTAAGAGTACATCACACTATAGAGATTATTCCCCTACCCAAGGCCCAGCTTCACCTATTATCCACTGCTGGTCAATCACTTTTTCATCCATGCCCTTACCCACTGGACCCTACCTATATTATTTTAAGACAAACCCTAGCCATCCTGCTGTTTCATCTCTAAATATATAGTATGTAGCTGGAAAGGTAAACTATTAAAAATTAAACATAATGACAGTTCGATAACACCTAAAGGATTAACAAATACCTGTTAATATTGTCAAAAATCTAATCTGTATTCACATTATCCCATTGCCTGTCCAGCTTGTTTGTTCAAATTGGGCCTCAAATAAGATCCATACATTGCAATTGGTTGAGGAAATGTTTAAATTTCTTTTTTTTTTTCTTTTTAAAATGAGAATTGTAAACATTTTATTGATTTTTTTTTTTTTTTTTTTTTTAGGGAGAGTGATAGAAACATCAGTGAGAGAGAAACATCACCAATTGGCTGCCTCCCGCACGCCCCCTACTGGGGACCCAGCCAGCAACCAGGGTATATGTCCTGACTAGGAATCCAACTAGGAACCTCTTGGTTCATGGGTTGATGCTCAACCACTGAGCCACACGGGGAGGGTTTAAGTTTCTTTTCATCTGTAGACAGTCAACTTCAAATTGTGCAGCCAGTGTATTCATGCAGAGTCCCAAGCTCAGGAGCATCCCATTCTTGGGGTTTAATGCTCTGCAGTCACTGTCTTGAAAGGTTAATAATTGTACCTTTGAATTTGTTTTGTAAGTAAAGTACAGTGGGGCAATAGAGCATGTGATTGGGCCTTGGAGCCTCAGCTCCCCTGTGGGCCCACTTCCTGGGGCTCCTCGCTTTCTAGGGACAGGTCCTAGAGAGCCTCGGGTTCTACAGTCCACTGAAGCCAGCCTCCGCCTCTCCCTCTCTCTCTCCAAAGCTGGCAGCACCACCGTGCATTCCGCCAGCAGCTCAGTGCCCGCTCACATCCCAGGGCGTTGCCGGTTGCTGCAGGCTGGGCCAGGAGGATGGTGGAAGGGGTGGCTAGCTCCACTTCGCCGTCCCTACTGGCAAATGAGAAAAATACCATGAAAGATTGAGAGACAGATTGTAGAAGAAAGAAATAGCTTGATATTTTAGTACCCTTAACAGCATCTTTTTCCTGCTCTTTTCAAGAAGGACCCCACTTTGGGGGTCCTGAAAATTACACTGGGCCCTGAAAATTAGTTATGCAGGTTGTCCTGTTCATAGGTTCTCTCTCTCTCTCTCTCTCTCTCTCTCACACACACACACAACACTCAGAGTCTCTCATTTCCTTTCAGTTTACATGCTGTTGAAGAAATTAAGTAATACCCATTGCACCTCTGTGGAGTCATTTCACGTGTCCCTTTGTCTGGTGATCAAGCTCTTACTGGAGTGGGTAAAGGCAGATAAACAGAACCTGGTGTCAATATGATGTTAAAGTTCAAGCTAAGGTCAAAGAAGTCAAACTTTAATTTCCTCTAGGACCATACAAGTTGAATCTTCAAAC